CCCAGCTTCTGGCGAGCTGTGACTCCCACGCTCAGGATGTCATCCCTGTGGACAAAGTGTCTCACCCAGGGCAGCCCCTGGGAGCTGCTACCCACGGAGCAGAGAGAGCCTTCAAAGAGGAGGGCACCAAAAAGAGGGGTGCAGCATCATGAAGCAATGGCTAATGCAGCTGCCAAGAGGATGTACAGGAGCAAACTCTAACTTTCCTTGAAGGTCAAGTTACATTGTGTCATCATGTTAGAAGGCAAAATGTCTCTTTAACAATACTAAAACCCATTTCACTAATTGGTAAGTGCACTGCATCTTCCTTTCTCTGCATTGCCTGCGATAGGACAGTTGCCATGGTAACTGTTTATTTCTATTGAATTACAAAATAAACACAGTCAAAGAAAACCAATATTTTATTTCCTAAGAACTTTCTGCCCAGAGTCCCTTATCCCTTTATTTTGTATGTTTACTTTTAACTTGTCCATAAGTAAGGGTTATTTCCTCTTTGGGTTATTAGTTATACCAATACCCAGGCAATCAAACCCGTACTGTGTGTTACAACAAACACGTAAAATGGCTAATTACTGTGTACTTTAGAAGCAGAAGACACATGTCATATTTCTGTGAGATGATGCACTGTATGGGTTGAGCAAAGCGGTGGGAAGAGGGTGGTGGCAGGTCCCACCACCTTCAGGAGTGGAGTAAAAGCCCAGCCGTGACCCACAGGAGGTCTAGACATTGCAGAGGGATTTGGGATGCCCAACACAACAAGCTATCCATGTCCACTAAACCTTATACTTTGGTCTTACTGCTGCTACAGCTTTCTGATGAGTCATTTACTACACTTCCAGGGTTAGGGGAAGGCTGCAAACCACCGTGAGACTACAATGCAGAGGGTGCTGCCTCTGTTCAGCATTGTCACTGCTGGAGGCAATAAAAATCCTGCAAGTTGAATTTTGAGCTTAGGTAAAAATGGAAACCCAGCCTAGGACAGGGTATGGACCCATGACATGATGCTGCCTAAGCCACCCAGGCAGTCCTATGTGCCAAGAGCTTCTGACAGCCCATGAAGGGCTACGAAAGCACGGCTGGTAGGTTAACACAGCAGAGAGAACAGTGACAAAAGAACAAACCACGAGAGATTTCTATGGTAATTTATCAACTTTTAAACATGGAACTGTACAGTTTGCCTATGGATTTTTTTGCCATCAAATGTACACTAGTACAGGAAATTCCTTATGATTTTTGCCAACGTGCTGGTGCAGGCAGGAGTTAGGAGAGGCCCAAATGAGTGCCATTCTGCCAACAAAAGCAAGAAAAGCCATTTACCTATATGTTATTATGCATATTCCCACTCATAAGTCACAAAAATACTTACATGGTTGCCTGATTGTTTAGGACCTTCTCCTGCACCTTCATATGAGCTCTATAACTGAAAGTCTACTCCATTGACAGTTGCAAGTACTCAGGCAGGAATATCCAATTCCCAAGGAGAGCTGCCTTAAAAATAGACTGAGGAAAGAGGAATAATGGGAAAGGTACAATTTATTGTCCTATGAGTTAATAAGGCTGTGGCATAGTTAAACCACTATTTTTCCACCTTGCCATTGCTCTTGTGTGGCTGAGCAAATTAATTCTGCCCGTACTTGGAGACTGCATGCTTGCTGCATTAACTTTCCCTGAAGTTCTCATATGCAGACTAGAGAGGATTATATTATAAGCAAGGTGTCCATGTAACATGAAACATTAAATTTTTGAACTGTTAGGTAAATAGAATCTTTTATTCTTTAACATAGAAGTGAGTTACACCATGGCATTGACCGAGTCAAACAACAAATGAGATTTAAGTGTATCCAGTATTTTTAGGGAGAACGTTTAAGTCAAACAGATTAAATGCCTTGGCACTGGTTCCAATGTAGGATTTTGTGTTCAGCAGCTGGCATTTCAAGTCTTGAAATTTTGAGTGCATTAACCTGACTGTGAAAGGGGTTTAGAGTAACTATTTGGGACTTGCAGGCAGTCTTTCAGCGCAAAACTATGATTGTTATCTGCATTGGGCCTGAACTCTCTTAAAGTCTGATAGAGTTTGCTACTTTTGCACACACATTTAATTTTACAGCCAAGAAGTCTCATTCAGCGGAATTGCACAAAGTGCATAACAGAAATAGCATAAATATTTGCTGGATTAGGCCTTGTCTTTATAAATGTGCAACCAATGTAAGCTGAGTTCTGGCAATAAATCTGTATATAAATTGACCCCTGTAACTCAGCTTGACTTCAATATCTTCTAATCCCTCTTCACAAAACAAATTGCATCAACCATGCCTGCATTTAGCCAACTACAGTTCTCATTGTTTTTGTTCCTCCTCATAAGTTCTTCCTACAGATTAAATGCTGATGCACTGAACTAACTGCTCCTGGCTGAGGTGGGCAGGTGTAATTTGATTAGTATAGATTCTGGAATTGGTAAGTACTGTATCAGTATCCTCCCTAGAAAATAGGTGACATGTCA